CTCAACCATCACCTCAACCATCACCTCCTCAACCTGAGTTTCATCATTCTGAAACTCCATCTCCTGAACCTCATTCTCCTCAATCCTCTGAGCCACAACCTCTGGCAATTCAGCTGCCATGTGGAACAACTGTAACCATGGCCCAGCTGCCATCCTCGCCAGAAACTACCCCTCCAAATACTCCAAAAACCCCACACAGTCCAATTATTATTTCTGATTCTCCCACTCCATCTCCCAAACAAACATCTCCCAAACAAACTACAGAAGACCCCAGCAGGACCTTCATCGATTTAACAATCCTTGACCGTCTTGCTGATCTCAAACATAGAATAGTCATTCCAAAACCAAAACAACCAGATGTTGGCTCTGGCATTGTGAATTTTGAAATAGGTATGCAACAGTGGATTGCTTCTCTGAAGCAAGTCTGTCCTGGAATGATTGATCCTGCTGTCTCAGACCAGCTCTGGTCACGTTTCAGAATATGGGTACGTGCTGAAGCCCTCAAGTTGCAAGATATCAACTATGAGCAGGCACAACAGAACTTCAGCAAGCTGTTGAAGGAAGTTGAAAGTCAGCTGCCACAGGAAGACGTGCTCCTTCTGGATAGTGAGCCATGGTCTGAGAAGCGTCCAGCTTCAAAAGTGCAGCCAGAAGAAGATCAGATAATTCAAGCTGAAGTCAGTCAAGCTGAAGATGTTGCAGAAAGATCTCAGAAGCTCCCTGCTTCTGATGTTTCTCAAGCTGCCTTGGACAGGCAGACTCTAGAAGAGCTGAAGCTGAATGATATCCGTCTGCAGCAAAGAATGGATGAAAATGATCATAAGATGAAGGAAAGGATGGATGTGCAAGACAGCAAGATAGATACAGTAGTCAGCATGGTGCACAAGCAGACTGAAACTGCTGATCAGATTAAGGCAATGCTGGAGACTCTGTTTACACGCTTTCCTCCCCAACCTTAGTTTTTCATTCATGATATTTTCAATGTTTTTCTTTGCATATCTTTTGTACTGTTTTGTCTGGCTCTGAATTTTAATATATAACAAGTTTTTCTGCTCTGATCGTTTTAGCACATCACTTACACTTTTTGATTGCTGACAAAAAGGGGGAGAACAAGAATGATATTTTTCAATAACGGATTACTGAGACAAAAAGTCTCAAACATTCTAACTCTGATATACTTGAATGTTTTCTGTTTTTGCATAAGTCTACAGGTACAAGAATGCTTTCTGATACACTGAAGACCAAAGCCCTGATACTCTGATCCAAAGCAAAGCTCTGATAAAGCTCTGATATTCTGATCTGAAGTTCTGATAGTCAAAGCTCTAACATTCTGATGTTCAAGAATTCAATAAAGATCTGATCCTGAAGAACTCTTGGAATTAAAAAAAGGGAAGTAATAAATTCAGGGGGAGTATCTCCGATCCTATATCTGATATCTCTTTATCCCTTATCTTTGATAACTCCTTATTTAATTCTGATGCAACTTATCATTTAGTTATCTCTGATACTTTTTCACGCTATTTTCAATTAAAAAATATCTAGTTTTTGTCATCATCAAAAAGGGGGAGATTGTTATAACAAAGTTTGAATCTACTATCCTAAGTTTAAGTTTTGATGATAACAAAATGAAAAGATATATTAATTATGTGATTCATGAAAGAACTATTTGCTACCTAAAATATTACTTTCTGTTTTGCAGAAACTCTGATGGATATCAGCAAGAGTACATCATAATCAGCATCAGAATATTGGATATCAACATCAGCATCAGAAGATGCTATATCAGATACCAGAATCAGAAGAACAACTCACGCTTATGCTGAAGCTTGATGAACAGAACTGCGTTCAACACTCTGATCTCTGATAAAGACAACAACAGTTCATCAGCACTTAAGCAGCGTCAGAATGAGCCAAAGCCAGAACATGCTTTAGTAGCAACGACACTGTGCATTCAATACGAGTTATTACCAACGACATCATTCCAGACAAGATCTGCTTAATAAGGAAAGATTGTTATTGGCATTGAATCAGAATTATTGCTCCAACGTTCATCAATTTCAATGCTATATAAACAAGTCAATGAAGATTGAATTGGCTAATGCTCTACATCAATTTACACGCCTAAAAGCTATTCATCATCTTCTTATTCTCAGTTTGCTAAAAGCTCCAAAATTCCTTACTCAATAATTTTAGCAATCTAGTTTCCATAAGCTTAAGTTGTGTAGTATCACAGTTGTGATAAACAGTTTTGTAGAAAACATTCACACACCTAGATTTCAATTCTTTGTAAGAAAGTGATTCCTTGACAAACCGGTTTGTGGTTTGCATCAAGAAGGCTTTAGCAGTTGTTAAAGCAGATTGTAATATTCAGTTGAATATAGTGGATTAAGACCTCGTTGGAGAGAGGCGAAATCACCTTGACGGGTGGACTGGAGTAGTTTGAGATCAAACGAACCAGGATAAAAATATCGTGTTCATTGCATTGATTTTCAGTTTTACAATTCAACCCCCCCCCCCCCCCCTTCTTGTGTTTTTCACTTCTTCAAAGTCCAGACATGTTATGTCACCTCAAACATTTATTCATAAAGGCAAAAGTGAATGGCATGTCGGTGAATAAAGTGTTTGTCGATGGGGGCAGCTGTGAACCTAATGCCCTGTTCAAGAAAATGGGAAAGTGCAGTACCGATCTTCGACCATATAATATGGTTTTGTTCAATTATGAAGGAAAAACCACCAGCATACTAGGAGTTTTCAGGTCGAATTGGTTGTCGGTACAACCACCAGGTCGACACTCTTCATGGTAATAAATTCCAAAGCCAATTTTAATCTATTTTTGGACGTGAATGGATCCACGGGATAGGGACAGTACTATCAACCCTGCACCAAAGGATATCCATTTGGAGAAAAGATGGTGTTGTCGAGAATATAAAGGCTAGCCAGAGTTATTAAAAAATCGATGAGAGTAAAGGTGGAAAGAAATCTTTCGACCAACACTTGGAAAATGTGGCGCCTTGTGATGATGAGGTTCAGGCTCCAAAAGAAAACGCAAACAATTTTTTAAGTTTGGATCCTGATCATGGATTCAACTAGGACTTCGAAGAAGAGATGATGCCTAGGGAGTCGAATCTACCTACGGGTTGGGTTATGGTCAAAGGAGATGACCAGTGAGTCAGAGAGTCTGGCTCAAATTTCGGCTAATATGGCTGAAAATAAAATAAATCGTCTTTAGAGGCCAAAAGGTTGCAAAATTTAGTTGTCGAAGCTAAAGTAAAAAATCTAGAAGGCCATTATGGCCAAGCATCAGCTTCAGAAAGCCGGAGGCTAGAGTGTTGGCGTAACCGGAAAAATATATGAGAGTCGTCACCACTACTTTTTGTCCTAAGGACGGGAAAGAAATGAAAAACCCTAATTGTTTCAGACATTACTGGATTCACGAGTTAATTAGATAAAGGGAAGGTGTTAGTCACCCTTTATCTCCCTTATACTCAAGGGGATCCTTTTTAGATCTAGGACCTTTGGGAATATTTATTTATTTATTTATTCATACTATCATATATAATAAAACAAGGGAAAATTAAGTTTTTTAGTTAGTGGACTCGTCTTGGTTTTTCAACTGTGTGCCTATGTATCTTCTTAAGAAGAAATCAGAGTCATTCGTAGTTCGAAGTTGTTTGGTTAGTGTTTTTTATAGAATCATGTTAAGTTGCTTTCGAATGGTTTTGAACTTGCCAGGATTTGAAAATTGATTGATGGTAGGAGATTTTTTTATATCCAAGTAGAAAGAAACCGACCGATTCTTTATTGAAAATAATCTTGAGTTTTGATTAGGTTAGTAGAAAAATATTTTTGATAATTGGTTAGCTATTTTGATTAAGTTTTGATCGGTTGAAGAAGAGTTGATCTTCCTTAGAATTAAATCATGCTGGACGAAGTAATTGATTTGATTTATTGGTAAAAATTTTATGTCTTAATTTGAATAATTAATTAGTAAGACGTTGAACCGACAAATCAATTACTCGAGGATATGATAGATGTGAAATTCACCTATTCTATTATTTATAAAATATTGGAATTGATTTAATTAAAAAAATATTTGATTAGGAAGGAAATTAATCTAAACTTAAAATAATATAATAAAAGACTAATGAATTAGATAAGTTAACTAAACGTTTCTTTTTTTTTTTGTATTTTTAGTATTATTTTATTTATGATTTAATAAGTAAAAGGGGAAATCCTAATTAACTAACCCAAAAAACATTAAAAATACTAATTAGCTTAAAGTAAGTTAAAGTAAAAGCTAAAAGCTAGTAACGTTGCAGATTGGGCGGCGCCTCATTATGGGTGACTTTGATACACCAGTCACCATGACTTAGTATTTTATACTTTGTTCCATTTATCTTTCATTTATTATTTAATGGCTTAAATGCAGTTTTGACCCCCTAGTTTAAGATTTTTGGAATTTCGATCCCCTAGTTTAAAAGTCACGTTTTTAGTCCTCAAAGTTTTCAAATTTGGGATTTTTGAAAGAAAAACGTGGCATTGCCACGTCACTTTTTGGGCAGCCAGATGGAGGGGCTTCAAAAATCCCAAATTTGAAAACTTTGGGGACTAGAAACCTGACTTTTAAACTAGGGGATCGAAACTCCAAAAACCTTAAACTAGGGGGTCAAAACTGCATTTAAGCCTTATTTATTTTAACTCCACCATACATTCAAACTGCATTAAAGTTAATGTGACTTTCCCACCAGAAAGTCACCTAAATCATTTTCCCTCATTATGAGGATTTGTTTTGATTTTCAAAAATGGAATTCCACCTCCAATGAGATATTGATACTTGGCCAAGATATTTATTCAATAAAAAAATCATTAATGCAGCATATATGATATTAGAAACAAGGAAAAGTAAATAAAACATCACAAACTTCATTTTTTTCTGTCGTGCTTTTTCCAGTTTGCAGAGAAATTGCTTTCTCTCTTTTCTCCAACATCCCTGCTTTCAATTACAACCAAAACCAAAACAAACATATCACAGATGAAAAGTAAAGGAAAGACTCACCTTTTACATGAAGATGGTGGTGTTGGAAGTTGTCGCCGGAGCGGTTTCCGGCGGTCGGCGATGGGGGAAAGAAGAGGTCGCGGTGGTTGTTGCGTAAGGATCGGAGGAGAGTCGCGGACGTGTGGTGGTTGTCGAACGCGATTACAACTGATGGTGGTTGTTGCGGCTGACCCGGAGACGTCGGAGAGTTGTGGTGGGTGTTGAGCGTATGGTCGGCGATTGGTAGCCGGAGCGTTTTCCGGCGGTGACCAGAGCAAGTTTCCGGATCCGTTTCCACTTCTTGTTTTTTCACTTTGTTTTGGTTTGTGATTGTTGTTGTTACAACTTTAGGAATAATAACTAAAACAAACTCATGCCATGCCAATCACCGCTAAGTGTGAATTTATGAAATATTGTGGATTATTTTTGAAATATAAATTAAAAAGAAGAAATCATCATACTCATTATTTGGTTTAACAAACAAATAAATTGAAATTAAAAAGAAATTCAAAATAAAAAGCATGTCTCATATAAAAGATTAATCATCAGTCAAAATAAAGAAATTTAAAAAAAAGATTTTGAAATAATTTTTGTGAAAAAACAGATTGAAAAATTATTGATAATAAATTGACCAATCAAAAATTTAATATGACACAAATTAACTAATAAAAAATAATTAATCAGAAAAGGAAATATTTTTTATATTTATTATAATTTTTTAACTCAATTTTGATTAAAAAAAATATATAAAATCAAATAAATAATTATTTTTAAAAATGCCTTAAAAATAAGAGGAAAATACACTCACCTACCTCCCTTGAAGTATGTTAAAATGACAATAACACCCCTCTCTAATTTTTAAACATGTATTGACTTCTCTCGAGGTCTGTTAAAATGACACCGCTATCCCCTGTAGTTTTTAATGATAGTAAAAAATCATAGGTATAGATGACATTTACCTACGATTTTTTATTTGTCACTACAATTTTGTGTTGGTATATGTATGCTTAGGGGAGATCGGTGTATAATTTAAAACTAGAGGGGGTGTCAGTGTATTTTTAACAAATCTCAGGAGAGGTGAGTGTAATTTTCCTTTAAAATAAAAATGAAAATTGAAATGAAAATAATAAAAAATGCAATATTATGATTTTAAAAATGAAAATAAAGTTAGTAACAAATGAAAGGAAAAATATTAAAAAATATAGCAAGTGAGATTCGAACATGTGACATTATACTTGAAAGCCTTACCTCTTTACCAATTGTGTTAACTCTTTTATTTTTGATGAAAAGCCACTTGAAAGTATATGAAGGGTGGAAAAATATTTGCTATACAAATAATTTAAAGTAAAGTAAAATAAATTAATATTAAAATGTTAGTATAAATAAATCAAAAAATTTATAAAGTCTAAGTTAAAAATAATTTGACCGTTAGAAATAGGGCAGAGAAATTAGTGGTATGACAAATGCCCCTATTTAATTACTCTTCGATTGAAGCGTACGAGTATACGAAGTTTCTGTACGTTCGGATTAGAGGTTTATTAAATAATAAAAAACCCTCAAGATTTGACTAAAGAATTTTTAAAAACATTTGAAAAATAAAGCAAGTAACACTAAAAAAGGGCAAGGATGACGCAGATAACTTATCAATGCCTGAGAAACAGTAAACGCAGATAATCAGGAGATGACAACGCGAATAACTCGTAAATACCTGAGAAAAGTAATCGTAGATAACTTGGATATGACGACGCAGATAACTTATACATATCGAAGGTAACCAAGAGAAGACGATGCAGATAACTCGTCAACAACTGGAGTGTGGATTAACATATCTAACTTTGCCTAGGGACTAAATCAATAGATATGAAAAAGGACACTATCGCAGATTTTGCATTCCTACCACAACCTAGGGGGTAGGCAATGCGGGTGTCAACTCCATTTATGTCAAGAGATTAACCAATAGAGTCAAAAAAATATCTGAAAACAACTTGCTAACGCTTCGGGACTATCATAGTAAGTTGTATCGCAGATTTGCATATTTATCACAATCTAGGGAATAAATGACGTGGTATCAATCTTATTTATGTCAAGAGACTAAAATAATAAGATCGAAAATTTGGAAAATGATGTATCATTGCTTAGGGACCCATATGAATAGTTATATCTGATTTGCATATCTACCACAACTTAGGGGGTAGATAATGTGAGTATCACCTCTATTTATACCAAGGGACTAAACCAATAGAGTTGAAACGTTTGAAAACAACTTGCTAACGTATCGAGACTAACATAGTAAGTTTAATCGCAAATTTTGCATATTTATCACAACCTAGAGGATAAATGATGTGGGTTTGAAAATTTAATTTGAAATTTGATAGTTTGAAAATTGACAATCGAAACTTGGTAAGTGAAACTTGATAATTGGAACTTGATAATTGAAATTTCAAAAACTAGGCTATGGATATGAATCGAAGATATATCGCCTAGCGTAACTTTAATTGTGGTACCTCTAATGGTTATGTATGTTTCTTAACCGATGTAGCTTATTGTAATAGTGTGAAAAAGTGCTAAGGTGGACTTTGAATATTGAATGTACCTTAGCTGGTAAATAGGATTTGAGATTTTTGAAGTATTCATGGGCCTCTATGATTGAATGCAATGCATGTTTAGAATAATTATGCTTTGATATGGTTATGATTGATGTATGCGTTAATGCATGGTACGTTTTTGTAATTGTATACCTCTGGATTTGGCAAACAACGATGGTCTCTTAACAAAAAATTTACTGGCGAAATCGACCAGGGAATTTCAGTACAGTGCTTCAGTTTTCGAGTGTTTTTATAAAGTATGTTCAAAAGGGTTCGTTCGACTAAGGAGAAATGAAAATGGGTTGATTCAAACGTACATTACCCTAGCTTGACACATTCCGCTCGTTCGCTTTGGTGCTTTGAGTGACTAGCGTGTCGGAATGTGAAAGTTTGAATCCTCAACACTATGCAATAAGTGCTTAATTTATAATACACAAAAATAACTATTTTTCAGTGGGTTTCTCTTGTTTATAAGCTTTGTGTATCTTGTAACTTCCATTCATGAATCCACGTTCTCCATCCCTGCTATCGAACCCATGTTTTTCATTCATAACACTTTGCTTTGCTAGTTATGCACTCTTTGGGATTTTTAACATTCTTGGGCCCAATCCATTTCTCACGAGGCCTCTTTTTTGGTTGACTACATCCACAAGCCCAATTGACTATTTGTGAAATCTCTCCCGGTCGAATGCTTATGTAGTCAACTTCCTATAATTCAAAGTTCTCAAAGAACCTTTTTGGTTTTTGGTTGAATTTTAACCCTTTGTGAAAATCCTAGCCAAAAAATTACCCTCCAAAATGTCCTTCTTGACTAAAAGAACAAAAACAAAAATTTTAATTCGTTTCTCTTAGTGCGAAGTGACATCATCGTAATCATGACCTTTTCCCTCAAATGTTACACCAGCGATCACACAGCCACTTCCCCACTTTCTAGCTTCAACTTCCTAGGATAATCGTGGCCCTTAACTAACCAACTCCTTCAACTCAGTCACCACCTGTTTGACACGTGTCGATCGTGTAGCCACATTTTTTCCACTTTCTTCCCAAAAGTTTAGTTTCCTTGATGATATAAATACCCCTTTTATCTCTTCATGTTCCTCTCTACGTTTTCTCCGCATACTCAAGATCTTTGTTTTCGTACATAAAAGAAATTATTACTTTCATTTCTACCCAGAAAAAACTTTCCACCATCTTCATGGCTGCTTCAAACCAAATCTCTGAGCACATTCAAACTCCCCAGGAAATTGAACTAGTTTCCAACATGATTGAATTCTATGTTCATAATCAAAATACCTTCGTTTTGGAACCAACACCAACACGAAATCTCCAAAAAATTTGCTCCCAATTGTTGCTTCCCTTCATCTGTAACAATATTGCTTACGCTCTATTGGGGCCTATTCCTGATGAGATTAGGGCACTTAAAAAATTTGAAAGTTGCTTCCCCACTCACAAAACTACAAAACCCCCTACCAACAGAGATTTCCCTATTGATTTTCACACATCTACCAGACATCTAAAGGCTCTGCTCCTGCTGTTAACCAAGATTACATTGCATGGTTGAATAAAGTGGAGAAAGTTAAAGGTGACGTTTGGAAGGTCCAAAGCAATTTTGACTTGATTCAGCTTTTTAGGGTTGGCCCTAGTTATTGCAATCACATGCTGATTTATGCACTTTATTTCTGAGAAGGCTCCACAAACACCTTCCATTTTGCAGTTCGGATGCTTACTCCTACCATGTTCGACATTGCGATCATCACTGGTCTCCGTCCCACAGGTGAAGCGTTCTTTCCCACTAAAGCAGGCGAAAATGTCATCCCTTTTTAAAAGGACATTGATGGCTTCACCAAATATATGAGCGTTTTCACGCTAAAGATGTCGACAGTGTCTGACGAAGAGAACATTTCATTCTTGGCCTTGTGGCTTTCCAAGTATGTCTTCTGCAGACGATCTCTGAATGTAGCTAAACGATTCATTGCGTTAGCTCATCACCTCCATCTGTGTCAAAACATATGCCTGAGCAAACTTATTTTGGGGTCTCTCTATAAATTGCTCATCATCGGGGTCGATCATATGAACTCACTTTAATCTACTTCCAGCTATCTGCTTGCTGGGCCTTTCTGGCTGCTTCAATTGTGGTTAAATTCCACTTTTGCGAGCCAACTCAAATTGCGCCTTTCTGAAGCACCTGAGACTGCATTTGCCCAACGTGCTAAGGAAAGCCTTCGTCTTGCTGCAATGATGCCTTCTAACAATGACATGACTCGAGAGGAGTCGCTTGAGAAATACCTGAAGTTTTTCTTTAGGTGAACTTCTTTTTAGCCAAGCATGGTGCCCTTTGCCTCTATACCACATGGTCCTGAGTGGTTCACTCGACCATTTCCTCTTGTCGATCTTACGCAGATCCCTAAATCCAAAGCCATTTGGTAAGATTTATTAACCCCTAATCTCATAGCATCTAGGGTATGAGCTAATGATGGCGTTACGCTCCTGTGTTATCAGCCTAATCTGGTGGCTAGGCAGTTTGGCTTGTGATAACCTTTGCCTCGCAACTTTTATAAGCCATCAGATGAACTGTGTCTTTCGTCCACCAGCTACAGTGAGGGAGAATATGCTCAAAAACTTCAACATTTTGTTGTTGACGTCCCTAATATGACTCTTGTTTCCTCCTAACCCCTCTTCTACATCACTAAGGAGTTCTATGATTGGTGGACTTTGCAATTCGTGCAAAGTAATGGAACTCTCAAGTCCTTCAAGGAACGACTGAACCATGCTTTTGAAGCTATGAAACAAAAGTTTAGGAAATATATGGTTTACTATTGTGACTGCCAGTCACCTTCTTGTTTCTTTATGTTTTAATTTATAACGCTTTGTCTTATGTTATTTCCTTATTCAGCGGTTGAGCACAAGAAATGCGCCAGGAAAGCTATCAATGGTGCGATTGTCTCTTCTTCAGCTAATGAAGCCCTTGGAACTTCTTCTCGGGTAATCTTCTAATTTGATGGTTTACTAACTATTTGCGTTCGCTTTCTGACCCTCTGATTATGTTGACACAGTCGTTGGCCCCTAAAGCTAACATCGTCGTCCCTTATGAACCATCCACAAAGAGACGAAAATACTCTTCTAACCGAGAGAAATGAGCTGGCGATGCATCTTCGCCTACCATCCCCATGTTGATTTGATCACCCATTTGGAGGCGTACCCTTCCGATGGTACTAAGATTAAAAAATGTTGAAGAAAGTTGACGTTCAAGTTGTTTCTCCTTTAGTCCTAAAATTTGTAGTTGAAGCACCTACCTTCCTTGACCATCTTTTGGTCGACTTGGTCGAAAAGAAAGAGATTCAGGAAAGACGTCTTCCTATGGAGAAAGAGCATACTGTTGAATTGGATTTCGTGAACTCTTCCATGGCTTCTAGTGAAGAATTGAAGGAAGCCCTTGACAAAGAAAGAGTAGACTTCAACACTAGGGCCACAAATATCTCCCAATGGCAACAAAAGATCATGGTGTTGAAGCAACAAATTGAAAGGCTGGAGAAGCAAATTGATGAGGCAGAGACTTTGCAAGCTGTTGGGTTTCACATAGATGAACAAGAATTGAATGACGAAGCTTTTGTTGGGATCGCTCATCTAGAGTGTGTTGGCGTATTGGATATTGAACTGGCCGACCTTGACACATCTATCTCGTTAACCAATTCTCGTTTGGCACTTGCTCGAAAATGCTATATAACCCTCAAGAATAATGTGCCTTTTTAGCCGTTTTGATTCCACATGTACTCTGAATTTGTTCTTTCCATAGTTTTTTGTAATGCTTAATTTACACTCCAGGTCTCTTGGTGGCCTCTTCATTATGCAATGAATTTTATCCTTTGTTTATTATAATTTCTTGCAGCATAGCCCTATACCTCTTTAAGTATTTTCCATTTAATCGTAGTATTCGACCTTCCAGTGTGATCTCCTCAATCTCATAAGCATTGATGGAAAAAACTTGCACTACTCGAAATGGTCCTCCCAATTTGGTGACCATTTTCCCAGGACTCCATCCCTTCTATCCATAGGCATGATAACTTTCCAAATCATATCTCCAAAGACGAACGCCTTTGCATTCACCCTTTTTTTATAGGCTTTTGCTACTTGTTCTTTTTGCCTAAACAAAGTATCTAATGTTGCTAGCCTATGTTCTT